CAGGTAATAGGGTCAGATAACGGACCAGCCTTTGTCTCCCAGGTAAGTCAGAAGGTGGCCAGGTTACTGGGGATAAATTGGAAGTTACATTGTGCTTACCGGCCCCAGAGTTCAGGTCAGGTAGAGCGAATGAATAGAACCATTAAGGAGGCTCTAACTAAATTCTCGCTAGCAACTGGCACTAAAGACTGGGTTACTCTGCTGCCTTTGGCATTATACCGGGCCAGGAACACTCCTGGGCCCAGTGGGTTGACTCCATTTGAAATCCTTTATGGGACCCCTCCCCCTGCAATCTCCTTCTTAGACCCCGACATTTCTAACTTTGCTGATTCTCCTTCCCTATTTGCTCACCTGAAGGCACTGCAGCTGGCTCACCAGGAAATCTGGAAGCCCTTAGCTACGGCCTATCAGGATACTATTGACACTCCTATTGCACCCCACCCCTTCCAGCCCGGGGACGCTGTCTGGGTCCGGAGGCATCAGACTCGGAGCCTAGAACCACGCTGGAAGGGACCATACACCGTCCTTCTCACCACACCAACCGCTCTTAAGGTCGACGGGATTGCGACTTGGATCCACGCCTCCCACGTCAAGGCAGCGAACCCTGAACACCAAGAACAGCCCCCTGACGAAAGGAAATGGCGGCTAGTCCGGACAGAAAACCCCTTAAAGCTAAGACTCACTACAATTTAATGATCCTAATTCTGTTTTCCCTTATTCCCGCTATTCAATGTCCCAACCCCCATGCTGTGTACAACATAACCTGGACTTTGATTGGTCTCCGAGACAACCAGCCCCTTAATCAGACCTCTAAGGTGGGGACTTTAGGCGCCACCTTTCCGAGCTTAAGCTTTGACCTCTGCAAATTAATCCCTGGAGCTTGCTGTGGGACAGGTGGCCGTTTCCATGGGGTGTATGCATGCCCAGGGAATGGGAGAGAACCAGATCTCATAACTTCGTGCAAGGGACCGGAAGTAGGTTATTGTGCTGTATGGGGCTGTGAGACCGCTGGGACCACTTACTGGAAACCCAGCTCTAGTTGGGATTTGATTAAGCTGTCAGAGACAGGGTCTAGAATATGCACAGGTACCAACCGGCTAACTTTAGAACTCACAGAGAACGGGAAAAAGGCCGACTGGAGCCTCCAGAAGACATGGGGCATTTATGTTTATCTCCCTGATTGGGGATGGAAAGATCCCTTCGGCCTCATTACAATAAGGAGAGAATACTCAGTCCTTGCCCCACCTCAGTCAGTCGGACCTAACCCCGTTCTTCCAGACCAACGCCCGGCCTCGGTACCTAGAGCTCCCTCACTGGATAGTCGGAATCAAACCCATAGCAGACCCCAGACACCCCTAAGTCCTACCCCAACCACACCAGGTACCGGGGATAGGCTCCTAAATCTAATCAAGGGGGCATTCCAGGCACTTAATCAATCTGATCCTGGAAAAACTAAGAGCTGCTGGCTGTGCCTTAATCCACAGCCCCCCTACTATGAGGGCATTGCCATTCAGGGAAATTACTCTAACCATACAGAAGCCCCCCCCGCATGTCTAACCGGGGAACATCAGTTAACCCTGACTCAGGTGACCTCTAGTGGCACCTGTATCGGAAACCCCCCTACTACCTCCAAGTTCTGCAATGAAACTGCAATAATCTATCCTGGTAATTATTATCTAGTACCTCCTAGTGGTACCTATTGGGCATGCAGTACGGGGCTCACCCCATGTGTGTCAGCAACAATGTTAAACTCTACCCGGGATTTCTGTGTCCTAATTCAGCTGTGGCCTCGGATTTACTGGCACGAGGATGACTATGTACTGAATTTTTATGAGAATTCCCCCACCAGGTTTAAGAGAGAGCCTATCTCCCTCACCTTGGCCGTTCTGCTAGGAGTAGGAGGTATCACTGCAGGAATAGGTACGGGGGCCACCGCGCTTGTCCGTACAGACCAATACATGCTTTTACACCAGGCGATGAACCAAGATCTGCTCGCCTTGGAAAAATCCGTCCGGGCTCTTAAGGACTCCCTTACCTCTCTATCCGAAGTAGTATTACAAAATAGACGGGGTTTAGATTTGTTATTCCTAAAACAGGGAGGCTTGTGTGCTGCCTTAAAAGAACAATGTTGCTTCTATGCTGATCAGACTGGGATAGTCACTGAGACTCTAGACAGGCTCAAACATAGATTAGAAGAAAGGAAACGACACCTTGAGTCTCAACAAGGATGGTTTGAAAACCTTTATAATAGATCACCCTGGTTCACCACATTGGTATCCACCCTAGCTGGACCCTTAGTCCTACTCCTTCTTATTTTAACCCTGGGACCTTGTATACTTAATCGACTGGTCCAATTTGTGAAGGAACGGCTGTCTGTAGTGCAGGCGTTAGTCCTCACAAGCCAGTACCAGGCATTGAGGACCGAAGATCCAGACATGTTATGATGAGTGAAAGATTCCACTCATATGTCCATAGAAAAAGGGAGGAATGAAAAAGACTAGGCGTCATGAGTACTCATGAGCCCACATGTTTAAAATTGACAAAAACCAGGACCAGCCTTATCAAAAGGCTGCAGGACGGGCAGGCGCCGGTCAAGCTTCACAGATCAAGCCATAAACAAGTTTTACGGGTAGAACTCCTGACCACCCTGAGGGCCCGATACCAGGAAATCGAGGGAAAAACACCTGTGCCTCTGAGGTCACCTCCCATTTAGCAATCCCACTTCCCCTTAGCCCCGACCCTTACCCCATATCTCTGCATACTTTTGAAATTATTGTGTGTGTGTTTGAATTAACCAATAACTGCTCTTCTGCTTCTGTACCCTGCTTCTGCTCTATAAAAACTGCCAAACCCCAACCTGGGGCGCGCAAGTCCTCCGAGGAGACTCTGTGCCCACAGGTACCTTTGTATCAAATAAACCTCTTGCTGTTGCAACCTGAAAGGCTGACTTGTCCTCAGTGGTTTCACTCTTACAATACAACTTGTTTATTTTCTGAACATTACCGGCTTTCCTAGCTTCATGTCTTACTCCTGTACCTGGACATACTCCATAGTCCAAACAACTCGGTGTTGTTTCTGTTTGTTTGTTTTTTATTTTAATTGCTCTTGCTCCTCTAATCATCCCTTCAATAACTCTTAAGCTGACAACTGTCGTCTTTCTCCAGGCTGAGGTTGGACCCTCATGCTCTCTTTTCCTCTTGTACCTCACGCCTTGCTCCATCGTGCCACTTACCAGACCAAGTAGATACAGAAAGTCTGGTGCTAAGTACAAACTAGGGATCTTGCTCATGTCTATACCTGAGGTACCGCATTCTGTGCCAGACACTTTTATCAGTGCTTGATTTATCAGGATCAAAATCATGAAGGTATGGATAAAGGAATGGACGTGCTAACAGCAGTTTGTTGTCCCATGCATCACAGTCATGACATGATTAATAGAAAATCTGTTGCTGTAGAAATAATATTATCAGGACAGCAAGATTATCCTTTTGGGAGGATATTAACAGTGGTTCTTACTTGAGCCAAAGTCAAATTTATATAGAGGCATATAACATTTTGTAAGACTTAAATAGCAAAACAGTGAAGAAGTAGATGTGTTTTATGATTGCCAGGTTAAATTTTTCTGCAGTGAAAAAAATAGAGCTATTTTATAAAAGAGAGAAATTTGCAGACAGGTTCACAAAATGAATCTTGAGGTGACAACGGCTTCATTCCTAGACCTTGGTACTGTTTTGAGTGGATGTTTCTCAGAGAAGCTTGCTTTTCCAATAGCTTTGAATTTTCTTGACAGGTAACACTGAAGTGAGTGTGAAGGTTTTCTTGAATTACTTGACATACAGCATAGCACGAATGATACGAACCCTTGCCTTGTCCCTGGTTGCAAGATTGAAACTGTAAACCTTTTCTTTTTCTTTTCAAGTAGGTAATTCTAAGAATTGTTTGAATAACTTAGGTGCCAGTATTTGATAGGAAACTCAATTTAGTTAAGGAACTATTATTTTAAAAAGTTGGAGTCATTTGTTCAGATATTTATTTATTGTTTAACAACTTTTTGCATTTATAACATGAATTTTAATTCCCCTCCATCATCCCCCTCCCTCTCCTGCTGGGACCGTTTTGAACAAGTCCCCTTGGAATTCTGTTTCTGATTTGTGCGTGTGTCCCACTTAATTCAATAAGTTACTTGCTAGAGCATGAGTGGGAAGTTGTTTAGTGGAATAAGGGAAAATATAAAATTATACAACTGAATAAAATTACATTCCTGCAGCGACAATTGTCAATAATCTCTCTGGGAGAAGTGGGGCATCATGAACCCCTCTCCCATCCAGGATGAAATGTTGATGGAACCAGTCTCATGCAGATCTTTCATAGAGAAGCACAGTCGCAGTGAGCTCCTAATGCAACTGCGTGTCAGTTCCAGATGTCTTTATGCTGCACATTATCCCAGGTTTGACTCCTACCTTCTTTTCATTTTCTCTTTTGGGGTGTTCCCTGAACCATAGAAGGTGAGAAATCGTTATCCCATTCAGGACTGAGCATATTTTTGAAATTCACTGGTTTTTAGAGGAAGAGCTAGTCTTTAGAATATTGTGTGTGTGAATACTTCATAAGGAACATGAGATGAGAGATTGACAGACAGGCAGACAGACAGACAGACAGACAGATGACAGATTACTGTGTTGCTCCCAAATGTTCAAAATGTCATCTTTTGACAGAATGCATGAAATCTGGTGCAGGGGCTATGGGGCAGGTGCAGATGGAGAGGGGGCTCTAAATGTGATTAATATGTATTTTAATAAATGCACAAAAATTATAATAAAATTATATTGTAAGTAAATAAATAAATCAGAATCATAATATTAAATGGAATTCTTTGAGTAAAGTTGCCTCCATACATATTTTATGTGTAGTCATAAAAGTTTCTGTGTACATAGTGAACTGTAACCCATCTTGGTACATAAATATATGGTAATATACTATATCACAAGTAGCCAAATGTCAGCCAATAACTTGTAGCCAACTATTCAAGCCATGTTCAAATAAGACCAGAAGAAGATGAAGCCAACAGAGCTGTCTCTATCACATTTGTCTTCTATAAGACTTTTCC